TTGGAATGAGTGGCTGAGAATTTTCCTCCAATCACAACGCGTCACCATGGTAGTCACTGTTGTCGGAAGTTTTCAAGTGCGATGCCCAGGTTATGATGGATCCCTGAACCCACTCACCATGTAGCCGGCCGTGCTTGACGAACACGGCACCAGCTCCAACGATGCGCGTCCGCGCCGACCGGATTATGCTGTGAAGACAATCAACGTCACCGGATTTGACGTCGCTAGGACATATACATCGTCCTCGTCTTTGTTGGACAAGGCGAAAGCCGCGTATGCGCATGACGCAGACGCGAAGCAGCTGATCGAGTTTCTCTCAGCTCCTTCCAACGAAGCACGTCGGAAGTTGGCCCCTCATCTACAAGCGAGTGCACACCGGTATCGTTTGCACGACGGTCTACTGTTTTACAGCGATGTAGACGGCAATGCGGACCGCATTGTCGTGCCGAATGATCCTGACCTGCGCACCTGGATCATGTACGAGTATCATGATGTCCCCACGACAGGACATCCGGGACATGAGAAGACGTATTCTCTTCTCACGAGAGACTTCAACTGGAACCACCAGTACAAGTGGGTGGCAAGTACGTACGTACTTCCGATGTTTGCCAACGAGTGATACCTGCACCTCACTCACAAGCCCCTCTGCAAACATTGCTGATTCCGTCGGGGTGTTGGGAGTCCGTTTTGATGGATTTCGTGTATGGTCTTCCGCGCAATTTCATGCTGAAGACTGGAATTGGGGTCTTGGCTACGACAGCAGCAAAATGGTGCATATCGCTGCTGTCGCAGCGCCGGTGAACTCCGTACATACGGCACGTCTGTTCGTCAACATAGTGTTCAAGCACCATGGCATACCCGGTGCCTTGTATCGGACCGCGATCCGCGCTTAACGGCGCGTTTCTGGCAGGAAGCGTTCATGCCCAGTTCTACATGTCGGCGGCGGATCATCCGCAGACGGACGGGCAAACCGACCGCGTGAACCGTGTGCTCGTGGACTTGCTAAGCTACGCCCAGTCGTTTTACAACTGGAGCGATTATTTGTCGATGGCCTAGTTCGCCATCAACAACGCGGTGCTTGCCTCGACAAGGGCATACACTGTTCTTCGTGAACGCCATGCGGCATCCACGCCTTCCGTGCTTTCTCGGGGCGGTGCATCCTCCTTAAGTAGGGAAGGATCTATGGTTGTGCTCGAACAACCGCAGAATACAGCTGATGCGGATCTAGCTGTTGCGATGACACGTGCGATAGCCCGCACACGACAAGGCGACGTGCTAGTGCCAGGCACTAACACGCTGACGAACCACGAGAAGGTGACACCTACTTCAACCAAAGACAACGTGTCCGTACGGGCACAGACACCGCGAAGACTTACGCACTGACCGGGCCTGTTGCACGCACAATTGATGCATCGATACCGGGCATTGATACCGAGATGATTCACGCACAGGCTGAACCTGCTGCGATCACACACGAAGTGTCAGTGCCCGGCGCTAACACAACAATGAACAACACATAGCCTGGGACTGATGCGTACACAAGTGTCGGGTCTGTGCTGGGCATAGACGCGGAAATGGTCATTGAGCTAGACCCAGGGTTTAGCTCTCAAGCAATGGACTTTGGCCAGGAACGACAAGCTGCCATTCGGTTTGTACAAGATGCGATTGCAGCTTGTGCGGATAGGCAGAAGCTGAACCCAGACAATGTGGACAGGGGTAACACAAATGAATTCAAAGTTGGTTCATTAATTTTGTTAGCTTCTCAAAACCTGCATACACAGGCAGTTTCCGGATTTGGAGGAAGCTTGCTTGCTCCGCGCTTCAACAGCCCGTTCACGGTGACAGAACGACACGGCTATGCATACACGTTGGAACTACCTTCCGACAAGATACTCCACCCGACGTGTAACGTTGGGCGCGTGAAGCCCTACGTGCAGCCCGAGTCATCTAGCCGTGATGACACGCCGACGACGACCCGCGTCGCGACTTCAGCTTTTCGTCAAGCTTCTACACCGTCTATCAAAGAAGGCGAACTAGTTCCGACATCTCAACACGGATGTTTGAGGTGGTCAGAGCGGCTACGGCCACGTAAGGCTCCTGCAAGTTCAGCTGCTGCTTCAGCACATCGATCTGAGTAGCCTGAACGCTATCAAGGTTTGGATGCTGTTCGCGGCAGCGCCCTGTAGTTTTCAATTCCACGTTGAAGCACCCCAATAGAAAGTAAGTGAGTGTGTTCCTGAAACATAGAGTCTAGCCAACGGATCTCGTACAAAATACGTCGATTCTTGATAATTCGCTTGCATACACGAGCCGTAATATAAGCACCACCACATCCTTAAAGTCTGGCTGCAGGTATTTTGGCTGTAGCCACTTTTCCCGGGTAGGCGAAAACGAAAACAAATTGTTCACATACATCTGAGAATGTTCATCGTCTCCATGTTCAACCACTGCGTTATCTCCACAATCACCAGAATCTTCACAAACTTCCACCGCCTTTGCACGACGATTACCAGCTCCACGACCACATCGACTGGCGTCAACGTCTTCAACGATTTCTTCATCATCACCGCCTTCTTCTGTCACAGCCAGACGCCGTGCAGCTTGTTTACCTCTATTCCCCGCACCACGTCGTCCACCACGAGCAGCACCTCTTCCTTCACCTCGTCCACTTCGTACATTGGTACTGGCATCTTGAACATCCTACAGTCTGTGTTCACGATGCTGACCACCACCGACGATATCTTCATCACGGTCTAGCCCTGCGGTGCTCGAACCTTGACCGCCGACCTTAACTCCTGGGTCAGGCTATTGTACGTCGACACCAACACGCTGTTCTTCATCGGCAACATCGTCGGAACAAACTTGTCCACTACGTACAGCACCACCAGAACCGCGAGCTGCCATTCCGTCACCCTGGACACCCCGTTGTCCAGTATTCTTGTCACACCCTTCTCCACTACGTACACTGACATCGGACCCTTCACCGTCATCCTCGACTACAGTACCAGTAGTTCGCCTCCTCCATTACGCCGATCGTCACCAGCGGCATCTTCGTCACCACCTTGATCACTGCAAACGGTGAAATGGTCGGCGGCCCCGTCACAGGCGACATCACCTGGACCACCACGTGCTGCAACGATGGACTCACGACCGGTGGCTTCGTATCCTTGACCATGCAGTAGTCCTCCTTCGGGGACTTCTCCTGCTGTAGCAACTTGGCGTCTGTCGACAGACACACGCACGGGGCCACCAATGTATGTCACCTCACTGTCCTCCGACGTGAAGTAGTAGTTCACCAATGCAGTCTCACCCTGAAAATAGTCCACTCCTTCGTCACCGTCTACACTACATTCAGGCTTTGCGTATCGGAATCTGCAATCGAGACTACGTAGCGGAGGAGGTTTGGCAGTCCAACCTTTGCTTCGAAGGACTCGCCAAATCTCCTTAAACAACACGCTATCATCAGGTAAAAATATGTCAATACTTTACTGTCTGTGCATGCACTACCAACAACAAACCAACCTTGTGTATCTGCAGGTTCAGCGATCTTCCGAGATGGAACGCGTCGGCGCTTGACCGAGCTGTTGGGGGACGATAGCAGACTCCGTTTTTCACTAGGCATTTTCACCTCCCCGTCGAGCAGAAAAGCAGGAAGTGAGATTTCTGCAATTCAGTGTCAAAGCGTTCGCAATAGAAAACGTAGGATACCTTGATACAGAACTGAGCAGATATGGCAGGTAATAGAGAGGTAAGATGTTGTAGTTGCGTTAGCATCCGATTCTTCGGAACACTGGTCTCATTGCGTAGTACGCAATGTGTACCTCATGCAAGATACACCGAAGATGTTGTGTCCTCACCATCCTCATCAGGGAGATGCAAACTTGCTCTGGCCAATCACACGACGCCAGTGGCCTTTCAAACCGGCGGCTCTTCAAAAAATATTGGGTTTTGACAAACTGCAAGGCGTTATTCGGCTTGCTCAAAGGAAGCAAAACGCGTTCTTTCATTTTGTACCCACCGCTGACCAAAATGCCTCCTTTGATTTTAAATATATGGGCTTCAGTATACTATAGTTAAGCACTTGTCCGCGAAAGGGTTAAGCAATCAAGCGAATAGAGGTATATCCAATAAAACTAAAACATTTTCAACTCTTCAGAGACTGTTATGATGAATGCTGCTCACGTTTCCAATTTCTACAGCTCAATATGCTGCAGCTTCGACTAGAAGAGGCGACCGCCAAGCATTTCGTCCAAAATGAGGAGTGCATTACGGTGCAGGGTGCTGGGTATCTGCGTTTTACTACTGTAGAATGATAAATACTGGTGAACCTACTGCTAAGAGACCAAGTCAACATAATGGAAGTTGAAAAGTGATTGATTGATTGATCGGCGAGGTTAATGTCGGCGTTTGCTACCTCGCACACCCAACGCTTCTTGACAACGTAGATACGTACACAAGTATCCAGGTCCCATCCTAAAACCTATCAATCTCAAATCCTAATTCTATCCTGATTTACCAATGAAATTCTGCTAATCCTAAATGTAACTTGATTTCAGCTTCCGGAATTTTCTTGTAGCGTCCCATAATCAAATATCCGGTTGGCAAACCGAATTGTTGCAAAACCACAAGATTTTCAACCAATGCGATTGCCTAAATCTCAATGTTGGCGCGGCAACATTTTCGATAATCATTTTGCCATACTGTTTGAGCCAATAGGACAACAGGTAAGAAATGTAACACATGCACGCAAGATTACTCTAAAACAGAGTAAACGTCTAGAGTGCTTGACGAGGTAGTTTTCTGCCGTGTCATTGGCAGAGACTACCGCGTCACATGACCTCCCTTCCAAGAAGGCTAACTACTTCGAAGATCGGTTGGTCTTCGTCTTGAATTCCCAGTATTGATCGATGAGTCCCGGAATTTGGTTAAGGTTCTCAACTGGTTCCCATGTAGCGTCTTTTCGTGGTTCCCCAAGCCACCAAATCTTGTACTGAAGTTTCTTTCTCACACGTCGGTGACCAATGACATCCCGGACAAGTTGACCTTCTGTGCCATCCGTCAATATGACTTTGTTGATGTTCTGACGGCGTGACTTGTCATTGTGATACAGTTTCAACAACGACGTATGGAATACGGGATTCAACTTTAACCCCCTCGACAATTTCAGTTCATACGAGTCTTTCTGAA